TTGATACACGTCGCCCTCGCAACACCTACACTTCGAAATAACTATTCAACAATTGTATAGTTACACACCAACCTCAAGATGAAGTTATCTTTAGTCATAATCGCAGCTATGACTAGGGCCGTGTCCGCCCAAGAATATTATAACCTCCGTTTTGAGCCTTGCGAAGGACCTGTCGACCTAGGCCGCCTGTCATTTGCTGTCTATGCCACTCAGTTTACTGATGTTGGCCGTATTTTACAAACGCCTGCTTGCCGAGTTACCCTTACCGGTGTATCACCTGGTGTGGACCCAAACAATGTTAATTGTATGACCTACAAAGATGGAACCAATGGCGGTACATATCTCTTAGACGGTGGAGCACGAAAAATGAATGTCGGAGGAACTCTTGTCTCACCACCATTTCGTGGCATTCAATGTTCTGCAGTATAAGGGTGTTACACGGGGTCAGGCTGTGGTGGAGCAAGTGGAGATGAACGAACCCGAAGGACGCTTAGACAGGGGAAAGCATGTGGGATTACAAAAGAACCTATCGAACATCACTTAGACAACTACATACCCGTAACACAATCTACTCTCTAACATTGCATTGAGCACACGTTCTTGTGGGAAAATCTTCTACTACAAGGCTATACTTCTATAGTCTCAGTCTTTGTTGGGGCGAGATAGCTAAACGCAGTAGTCAACGCGATTATTAGAGATTCTGGTGGAAAAGAATCATAGGAGTGAACCGAAAGTCACATCCAATCCTGTATAACGTCCCCTACGGGGGGTCTTAAAAAATACACATAGTCTTAATTCTACCTTAGTAGTAATATTTATGCCTCTAGTATTATTCTACACCGGCGCTTTCGACGAGAGTGTCGACACGTACGGCTGAGGGAAAAGCATGGCTTTCTATCATTCACTACCTCTGTCAGGACCCCGTACAGAATGGGCCAGGGTTGCCCATGGTGGGCTAGGATGAGAATACGCTACGAGGGCTCGGTAGCGATTCGTCTATCCTTAGCAGACTCGATACTATGCCATTGACGAAGAACATTGTCCATTCAGTGCTTTCACCAATCATTGAATCTGACAACCTCCTCCTTGTATAGTCTAATCTTGATCGACAATGACATAGCGGGCCAAGCGTGTTCCAGCACCCCTGCCATTGTTCTTGTTTTTGCCCCCAGCAGCGGCAGCAGCATTGCCACCGCCGTTGTTCTTCGCACCTGCGTTGCCTGTTGCTGCGCCAGCATTTCCTGTAATATCTGTCAGCAGGGTCGTAAAAGGGTGTGGTCTGGACGAGCATACCTCCAGCAGCGTTGCCTCCAGCGTTGCCTCCAGCGTTGCCGCCACCACCGGCACCCTGCTGAACAACGACACAATTGCCGAAGCCTCCCGCTGTCTTGAACGAGACCATGCAGAGGCCACCAGAAGCACCACCAGTACACTTGGTTCCAGCTGGAAGCGAAGCGGTAATCTGCTCTGTGCCGGTGGATGCTGGGGCAGCTTCTCCGTTCGCTGTTACTTTTCCAGCGACGAAGTTAGTGCCGGAACCAGCAGCATCAACTTGCATCGTGACCTGACGTGATCCATCTTTCCCACTGTTGCATGTGTCAGCATTTCGCAGGGATCTTTAAAGTGGACGAAACTAACCCGTTGAAGTTCTGTATACTGACAGTGAAGGAGCCGGAGGCATCAGCCTTTACTGGCGTCGATGTGTCGATGGCGGTCAAAGCAGTATTGCCACACGGTTTGTTATCTGATGGTCTCTGTACATCACTCCGTGCCGCCGTACCCTTCACACCAAGGGCTGGGTTGATAGCTGCGTGAGCCGAAACCTGAAGTGTAGAGAAAGACAGGATGGCTCCAGAGAGGAGGATAGACTTGAAAAGCATCTTGAATGACAAATGAGGGCTTGATGTGACCGAAGCACAACAATTCAAGTAACGAATGTAGTTTGAGAGAGTGAAGGTAATACACTACAGGTGTCTGGACTCAAGAATAGAAACTTGTGAATGAAGTAATGTGGAGTAGAGCAGCGAAGTATGGGGCTTTTAAGGCGAGCAAGGCACAATAGAACCCACATGCGAAAGTGTTCACGACGAAACTAAGGCATCTTCTAGACTCCTGTTACAGATGTCATGATAGCGGGAGCTCGTTTGAGCGTTCCGCGTTTGAGCGCTCCGTGGGTGCAGATTGAGTATGCGGAACAACTTACGTTTGGTGGAACGAAGGATGCGGAGGCTGAACCTGAGCAGCCGTTGTGGCCGCATGTTTAGAACATTGTTGCGCATGTCACCGAGGTTGACAACGCTGTTGCGCGAGTGTTTGAACACCAAGGCTAGGCCAAGGCTGGGCGGAACAGGAGACGTGAAACGTCGCAGGTCAACGTGAACGTCTAGCCGAGAAGGCGCTTCGAATGGCTCGCCGGTAGGGTTAGCCTAAGAAACCTCTGGCAAAATTATGGGCATGATGGCTTTGTTCGACTTATAGCTCGGAAACAAGAGATGAGAAGACACTGGGTAACGTGCTCCACGGGCGGGCGTCGCACCCCACCAACTTTTGCACCTTCAAAGCGACCACCGATCTATCTCAACAACGTGATTGCATATCTTGTAGATGTTTGTAGTATCTTTTGTACATGTAAGCGAGAGACAACATGCGAAACGAATCTCCATGCTTCCGCCCTAGCTCAAAATGAGTAGGGATGGAGTTGAGCCCGTGCTGCACACCAAACGGTTCCCGCCCTCATGCATGGCATAGACCGATGCGCTCACTTGAAACGCTGACACGCTCGTGAGATTCAAGGACAGGGTGACACCTGTCACAAATCACGATAACCTTCCTCAGATTCCGCTACCCAGGGTCCTGGGACAGTAACGTCAACGTCACCGGCACACCGAGAAAATCATCCTTCGACGCCTTCAACCCCGGCGTATGCAAAAGGAACAGCAGTCCATCTTGTGCTGCGACGCAATTTATAATCACTCTGTGCCTTGCGACCCACAAACTTACCTTTATTGTAGCCAGTACTCCTCCTTGGAGTCCCCTTCCGGTAAGACCGTCTTACTTGCCGCCGCGGTATCCCTTGCGCTTACTGCATACCCATCTTGCTGTGCTCAACTTGCATGCTCGTTTTATCAAACACTACCGCTCCCCGTCGCACGACTCGTTACCACTCAAACACGTCCTGTCGCCACACCCGTTGGCTTAGCGTAAAGTTGCCTGGCTCTTCCACAAGTGGAATGGTCGTTCTCCTTGGTCGCATCCGCTTTCCTACCAGATGCTTAGTCAGCATCCGATGAACGCTGAACATCTGCATAGCTGAACATTTGCATAAAAGGGCCCCTATCCGCTATGCCCTGCCGTGTCGCTAGCATCTCTTTATGGTGACGCGCCTCTGGTCTGGCCCAAGCCATCGCAACTTGTAAGATTACAACACGTCGTGGATCGCTTATGATGCTTGTCTTTGTTCTCTATTAAGTAAAGGGGCTTACAGCGATTGTCTTGCAAAACTTGGAGTCAATCCAAACGCGGCGAGCGGCTTCTTTTGATGCCTGCACTCAAGGTTGTTGCGCCCCTATCGCTCGTACTCCTATCGATACAGCTTCTGCTGCGGCTATAAGGTGGGCAATTAACGTTGCGCCATCGCTGTAGTCCGTCAATTGAGGTTCGAGTGGTAGCATTAACGTAGGCAAGTCCGCTGCCTTTGTGGCAGAATACGCCGACAAAAGGCTGATAGTAGACCCACACTAAGCTGACATCCAGCCAAGGTGCCGAAGGTCCGAAGGCGAAAGTCTCCCGGCAAACTTCTGAGGCTTATTGATTGTGATTTCAAGACGTTTAGAAGATGACAAAGAAATACAAGTATATGCGCGGGTATTTAATAAACGAGAATCCGGTGCATATCTTGTCTCGAAAGATTTCGACTATCAATTGCTACCTACTCTCATGGACGACATCGGCCCGGATCCAAACAGGTCACTCATCGGCAGTGCGGAGGAGTTGCGATGCCTCCACAATTCAATCGTCGTAGAATGTCATTGCCTACTTAGACTGCGGCTCAAGGTCACACGCTTGTGTGCAAGGGGTGTGAATGAAGCGTGTACACTGACATCACCAGTGCCCTTCCTTGGTAGCTTTTACGGACAACATCATTCCGTAGTTAGAATAATCGCTCGTCAGAAATGCGGAGGATTTGCGATGACGCCACAGTTGAGGCGTTGGAGTAGGTACTTTGTCCTGCCTAGACCTTAGAACGAGGCTAAGTGACCATCCGCTCGCTCCGCCGACTCAAACGTCAGCACAAGAATGCAACTTTCTCTAGATTCATCTTTCGCTAGGCTAATATTGTAGTTGATGTTCGGTATGAATGACATTTTGGTGTCATGTGGCGGACGTGTTCGGCATGAGTGCATGTGAAAATGTCATCGGTCTTCTTGGCTTAAGATACTTATCAAAGGCAAACTTTGCCGGGCCGATGTAATTATTGAAGACTTCTAGATGCGGTATTTTAGCGATGTCTCGCTGTAAGGTCGATTGAACCATTGTACTAGTAGGTCCTCTTAGCCGACGCTGCATGCGGCTGCAAGGTTGTGAAATGGTAACTCGGGCTACCTTCTGAATTGGCAAGGGCGAAATTCGAATAGAGCGCTACTTTCGAGTAAATCACGGGACTGATAATTTGGCACTTGCGCTACCTTAAAGATAGGACGAGGCCCTATGACCACACTAACGAAGATATCGCAGACCTATCTGATGTTGCGAAGTCATCGGCTTGGAGACTGAGTATGGATAGTTGCATGTATAGAGACGATATCGTGCGAACATGCAAGGAAGAGCGAGAGCCCCGGTATTGATGGAGACAAGGCGGACCATGGTGACTTGTGAGGTGGATCAGAAGTGTTAGATTTTTTCCAGGAGAGTGTAATCACCAAGATGGAAGATATTTAGCGTTGATAGGGATTTCGGATCATGTATACCTAGGGAAAGATGAGAACGGGTGTACTTGATGCTGAATGCTGCATGTGAAGATAACTAAAGGAGCCCTCATTTTGCGTGGGTAATGATGGATAAGGGTAGATGCGGGAGTGATAGACACAATGTCCTCCATGACTGCCTTGCCATTGCTGCCCTTCATGTAGTCATTCGGCTGCACAGCCAAATAGTTGCCGACGTGTTAGTCCTTGTCCGAGATTATCATGCCTTGGCGTACATTGATATAATGCATAATTGCTTTATCCTTTCGTTTGTAGTTCAGCGATATTGAGGTACACCAAGCTAAGTCGTGAAGAGCAGACGAAACTCGTACCCCGACAAGGCGGGTAAGCATCGGGGTGCAGAATTGATGCGTCCAACTTCTGGGATAGATTTACACTGCCTATGCATGCTTCTTCCACGTTCGATCGATTTGTAAACTTATGCCTAAGTAGGTAGGCTGTAGTCGATGCACATTATAGAGTGGAAACTGCCAAGAAGCAACGATGGAGTATCAATCACATCGAAAAGAGCGTACAGCAACAATAACCCAAAAGGACGCACATGGAATTCAGGATGAAGGATGGGAAACACGGTGAAGCTACGTCATACCGGTACACGCTAGGAAGCGGTCACCGAGGCGAGATGCCAAGGCTGATCTGCATCTCAGCCAACACCACGGCCAAGATGTACCTAGAATCTGATAGCTACCGAGCGAGGTTGCCATAGCTGTGTAGCCTACGGAGGTAAGCGGTCGAAGCGGGAAGGGTGCAGGCGTGTGACATGCGGAAGGGCGGTCCGTAGCGCACCGTACGTTACCGGTCCGAGGTGGGGCTGAAGACGACGCGGGGCTAAGTACGCGAGCCAATCGTTGAGCGATGATACGAGACCCAAAGGAAAATTGGGCGCGGTGCGCGTTGTTCGCTCTATGCGTCATAGAGTAGTGATGGGTGAATTGACTAGGGTTGTGATAAGCGGTGGGTAGGACTTCCTGTGGGATCTCTCGGATAGGGCCTATTTGAGGTAGAGCTTGGGAACATGTGTCTTTGGTGGATACCTGGATGAGAAAGCAAGGTAGAGGAAATATGAACAAGGTATAATTTTGTCTCTGTAGAGTAGAGAGAGTTCTGGGGGATATCTTCTGCTGCTGCTGCTGTGACTAGCTTGCAGTGCAACTCCCAACCCTACCATAACTCCCCAAGCTCTTTCTAACTACAACCCCACTACAGTACACCATCCCACCATCCCGTCCAAACACCCCCGTCCCTTTCTAGCAGCATCTCCACTGTTTTCAACTATTAGCAAATGATGTTCAACATTCATTCCTTTGCATGAACACCATACCGTATGTCTACAGTCTGCATTACTCTTGCAACCATTATTACCCGTGGGGGTAAGTAAGGTCTCGTCCCGTGGTACCCCAGATGTGCACGTAGGTTCAGCAAAGGTGCAAACTGAGAGATTTTTGAAATAATCTCCATTCGGCAGATTACACGTGCCAAGGGCACTGACGACTGCAGCGTTGCATGATGCGGCTTTGCAAGCGCCCGCGACGAGCAGAATGACGAGGGGGGTGAGTTGCATGATTCTGGTAGTGTGGGTGTTGAGAAAGATGGGAGAGAGGATTTGGGGGGATAATGCCGATTTTCGGAAACATTTATACTCGAGAGTAACGGCCGAGTGTGGACGGGAAGCTGACAGGAGATGCCGGTGATCTAATGGCATGTACCTATGGACCGGGAAAGATCTACACCCTGATGCAATCGTACAAGTCAACTTGCCATGGTCATAGGTTGCAAGACAGTGTGCCGGCAGAGGGCGGATCGCAAATCGGCATAATACGAGCGAATTAATCGCAATGTGTGCAAAGTACGATCTGAAATCTGACACAAATACGGGCAGCATGGAGAAGCCCCACTTGATGTAGTCATGTACGGCAAGTTACCCGCCACGCTCAGTACCTACATGCCGAAGATCTAGGAACCCGAACCCGCAAGCTTCTGTAGTGCATCGCCCTCAACTCTTAAGCCCACCCATTCCTTCTTCCTCTGTGCACCTATCAGCTCACTCTCGTAGAACTTGAGACTAGGCTCATTCCAATCTAGACAACTCCACTCGAGCCTCTTTCCGTTGACTTTGAGTACCTCCTGCGCAAGTTCCTTCAAAAGCCTCTTCCCATAGCCCCTTTTCCGGTACTTTTCCTTGACAAATAGATCTTCGAGGTATATACCAGGCACGCCGGTCCAGGTGCTGTAGTTGTAAAAGTATAGCGCCATGCCGGCGACGGTGTCGTCGGGGTCGGTGATGAGGAGGGTACGAGCGAAGCCTTGAGAGAAGGTCGAGGTGGAAGGATCGTAGTGTGCAAGGGTGCGGGTGAGGGATTCTTTGGTCGCCTCGACCTTGTCGCTGGCCTTTTCGTAGTCGGCGAGTTCGCGAATTAGAGATAGGATGGTGGGAACGTCTACGAGGTTGGCGTCAGTATTTTGGTCGTCTTGTGCAGGTGAGGCGAAGTACCATTGCGAGTTGCGTGACGTATGGTTGCACTGGTAGATGCCATTGTAGTCAATTGCTCTTGTGTAATTATACCTGCGTCTGGGTTGGAGAGTGCAGGAGAAGGGTGCAATGCAATGGAGATTTATTGGCATGCAATGCAAGACGTTCTATGTCAAGTTGTGGGGTGCAGATGCCCCGCCCCACCTGACATCTAAGCTTTATTTTGTTCTTGGGCGACACGCCTCTTTCGCTTCCATTCATCCAAATCCTTACGTATGGGATTGTCTTCTGGGAGGAATTCGGCAAAAAAGGGGAAGCGCATGTAGTTGCCGTCAGCATCGCGTGGCTGGACATGACTTGATGCGTCTACTGCATGTTTCTTTTGCGCTTTTACAACCTGCCCGGCTGCATTGACGCCGGCGAACAGAGCTTCGTCAGTAGGAAGTTGATATATCTTGGGCTTGATGGTGTTCCTATGTTCACCCCAAATGGGTTTCCACTGCTTCTGCTCGTCGTCATACTCAACTTTGCAACAGAGTCTGTGCACCCTGGCATAGATTCGTCGCATATACTTTGGGGTGATGGAATGTGGTCGCTGCGCACCAGCGGGTTTGTCTGCCTTGGTTGGCTTATCCAGTGCCATTGCTGCGTCGACTGTGCTAGCGAAGCGTACTTGTTCGGGAACAGAGTCTTTAGTCGGAACGCGCACTCTACGTTTGACTAGGCTAACGCGCTCGTCGCCAACAATCATGGCGTGGATCTTGTCCCATTCATCCGTCGGCAGTGGTGGGAGCAAGCGCGTCATGGTCATGGCATACCAGCGTTTGATGTTGTTACGCGCGCGCACCATGGGCATGGGTCTCTCCCAGACGTTGTTGATGGGTGTTTTCAGCACGGGGCTCTTCAACTCGCGATTGATGGATATACCCTTTTGGTACTGCGTCTTCAGAACTTGGCGTAACCGGGAGTAGCGGTCCGAGATGTTAATGGTGTAGTGTGTCTTGGAAGTAGCTACAGGCTTATCAAAGAATTGAAGGTAGCGCTTGTCGCTGTAGTAAAGCTTCTGCAGTGGTGGTTCGTCTCCTGTACTGGGCCCATGGGCAGCGTCCTCGTCCATGATGGGATCTGGCTTCAACAAGTCTGTCATCAGTAGAAATTTTCGCCTTCCCATGCGACCGTATGTGAAGTAGAGTATCTTCTCCAGACAAGGCATCTCGCCTTGATTGGCACGGCGCATGTAGTTGAGGCCTTTGAGGCCTTTCCGCAGCAGGGGCCGGGCACGTTCCCTGATTACGGCCATCTTGCGCCTTTTGAAGCTCTTGTGCTCATACCTCTCCACGGCTTCGACATCGAAAGAGGCAGTAGCATTACTTTTGGGCTGATAGGCCTTGAACCTGCTTACTATGTAGCGGCGGAAGTAGGTGCGGGCCGTCGCATCGGGCAGGTACGAGGCCTCACGGAGGAGAGCACGCAGCAGATGAAGGGGATTGAGAGTGGATGCACTCTCGTGGAAGAAGGCAGATGTAGGCATGGAGACTACACTGCGACAGTGACTGACTGCGACTTTGCAAAGGACGTGTGGTGGTATACAGTGGTTTAGCAGGGAATTGTGCGCATGCACGAAATCAGAGGGCCGGGGGGCGTGATTGGCCGACTGCGCACAACCGCGACGCGTTTCCACTCTCTCCACACCTGAACGACGGCATCGGCAGACTCATTGCACCCCTCACCCGCATAGCGCATAGCGCATACATCTCTAATTCAACCGTCTGGTGTATTCGTACCTACATGCGACTACCGTGACTGTATACGGTACTTGTCACGGGCTTCGACGCCAACGACGCGCAAATTGCTGTCTTTTCCAACAAGGCAGCATCGACCACACCATTTGCGACTGCCTCCGCTGCGACTGCCCGCGTTGCGCCTACCCGCACCGCGCCTTCCGTCTGGAGTCGCTGACATAATAATGCAAGTCGCGCGCACCTCGCTATCCTTTCCTGCTGCATCGCCGACGCAGCCCGCAATGTACGCCAATTCGCCCCATGGCCATGGACTCATGGCCGCGCCCGCAGCCTTGAACCGCTCCTTTTCTGATATGAATGGATACCAGCAACATGCCATGGAAAAACCTCAGATATACACGGTACGGGTCAAATATACATGAGGATGAATATGACGTCCAGCCGATATAGGGTGCTGACGATATAGGCTGTTTACTCGGGCGTATCCGTCTACGAAATGGAAGTCAACCGCGTGGCCGTCATGCGCCGACGCTCTGACGGCTGGCTCAACGCTACCCAGATCCTAAAGGTTGCCGGCGTCGACAAGGGGAAGAGGACAAAGGTGCTGGAGAAGGAGATTCTGACTGGCGAGCACGAGAAGGTCCAGGGCGGTTACGGCAAGTATCAGGGCACATGGATCAACTACCGCCGGGGACGTGAATTCTGTCGCCAATATGGCGTCGAGGACGTACTGCGTCCGCTCTTGGACTACGATATCAGTCTTGACGGCAACCAAGGCCAGGGACAAGCCATGGAAACACCGACCAAGGAGCAGGCCATGGCTGCAAACCGCAAGCGCTTCTACACCCAGAGCATGGACGGTCGCAGCACTAGCCAGGCCGTGACTGGCACCTTCTTCAGCAATATCTCCTCGACAGCCACCAGCGCGCTTGCAGCCATGAACAAGGTCGCCAGGCTTAATTCGCCCGCGCCTCGTCCAGCATCATCATCGCAGGGTCGGAGGAGCATGGCGCGACCATCACACGCCCCACTCGCCAGCCAGGAATCCTTCCGCACCAGCAGCCAACAGAGCATCGCATCGGAGCGCAGCTTCAGTTTCAGCGGACAGAATGCCCATACTGACTCGGCTTACGGCACGGCCCTGGAAGACGCGCTTGAGCCACCGAGAAAACGTATGCGAGCTTCACAAGAAGATAACAACTACTCGCAACCCAATGGCGCAAACGTATCCATGGCCGACTTGCCCTCACCAACCGAGCCGAATGAGAGCTTCTACCAACATCAATCCGGAAATCGCATTGCCCTCCCTGATGGCGACGTCCCGTCCGCCCTGCCGCCGCTACCACATCCAGACACCAAGCATAACGAGGAGAAGCAAGCAATGCTGACCGACTTGTTCGCCGATCAGACTAGGACTGACTTTACCAATCACCCAGCTATACTCCATCTCTCTGGCGCCGATCTTGACATGCCCATTGATAACACATCCAACACAGCGCTGCACTGGGCTGCCACTCTCGCTCGTGTATCTTTGATGCGCCTACTGGTATCCAAAGGCGCCAACATGTTCAGAGGGAATGCGTCTGGCCAAACGCCACTAATGAGCGCCGTGTCCGTCAACAACAGCCTGGATCACAGCTGCTTCCCAGAAACACTGGAGATTCTAGCGCCGCTGATCGAACTGCGCGACACCCAAGGACGTACCATATTACACCACATTGCGGTGACGTGTGCCATAAAAGGGCGCGCAGCCTCCAGCAAGTATTACCTCGAAGCGCTACTGGAATACCTTGTTCGAAGCAATATCGTCGCCAGCCAGATGCCCTCTTTCCACGACAACACAAACTACCCAAAACCAATCGGGCTCATGAGATTCATGCAAGAAATGGTCAATGCGCGCGACAAGCATGGCAACACAGCGTTGAATTTGGCTGCACGGATAGGGAACCGCAACATCATTTCCCAGCTCATGGAAGTCCAGGCCGACCCAACAATACCCAACTACAAGGGCACTAGGCCAGTTGATTTCGGCGTGGGCAGTGATTTGGCCGACGGCGAAGCTATCATGGCAGCAGGCGGCAGTCCTAACAAAGGTAAGGCACCGTTGAGCAAAGTAGAAGAGACTAGCAGAGAGATAGCGCCCCGTAAGTTGATTTTAATATGTGCTAGTAATGCTACCGCTAACCCCGCCAACAGTAATTAATGGCATTCTGCAGTCCGCTTCGATGCAATTTACGCAAGAAGCACGACTAAAACAGGACGCAATTGATCACACAAACGAACTCATCACACAATTATCCAGCCAGCAGAAGCAAGAACAGCAACGATTAGAGTCACTACGCGCACGGTTGCACCTACGCCAAGACTGCGCCAAGCGCATCTCGAATCTCAAGCGCTGGCTTGAGCCGCAACGGCATATGCTCTCTGTGAATGCCGGGGCAATCGACTTGCACGACAAGAAGCGAATTGGCTATGCTGATGCAGAAGGTGCAGGTTTGCTCATTCAGGAAGACGACTTGCCGTATGAGCTTCGACAAGCGGGTGACCACCTCGATCGACGGGCTTCGGATGGTGCTGCCTACCTATCAACACAGATACCACTGGACCCGTCTACGTTGAATCGTGTATCGTATCAACCGCAATACGAAGAATTCGCCGTCAAAGTCCTACCGTCCACTTCTGTTCTCCGACAACGCCTTGAGACGTACACGACTACCAACGCTGCGCTTTTGAAGCGTAGTAGGATGTTGAAAGAAAAGGATGGGCAACTAGAGATGATGTACCGCAAAGTGGTCAGTCTCTGTACCAAGGTCGAAGAGAGCAGAATAGAAGAGTGTCTGGAAGGGCTGGTAGCTGCCCTGGATAGCGAAGAGGGAGAGGGAGTTGAAGTGGGCCGTGTCAGGGATTTCCTGAAGAAGGTCGAGGGCGTAGAATAGGAGTGGGAACTGCATCCAACTATGAGTCATGTACGTTGGGGGCTTACATGAACTTTCATTTTACGGGGAAACCTTGGCGGGATTGGCATGTGAGGAAGCCGATAATCTAGGCGTTGGGGGTGCATCGGATGCAACTAGACCGCTGTCTTCGTCGACAACTCGCTGCGACTCTTGGCATAATCTTGTGGTTCGCTGACTTCAATCTCAGCACAGCAATGGTATCGCATATCCTTCTTCAACGCGAGATTACATTTCTCCATTGTATGTCCAAACCTTTGCGTGTGTGTAGCAGACCGGCTATCAAAGAGTGGGATTGAAGAGGAGAGAGAGTTGCGCAGGCGCACATGCACCGAGAGCAAGGACTACGTGGATACACTGTCGCTTTTTCATGAGATAGCGTAGCTTGGTGTGATGAACAACGGTGAAATCACAAGCACAATCCAAGATAATGTGAAGGAACAGGACTTTTGGCAATGCTTGGGATGCCTAGAAAACATACTTTTGTGGTCTAGATCCCTATCTCCGCACGACCCCCACTCCGCTGCTATCTGGTTTCGGTAAGCACTTGTCAGGGTAATTACCAACTTTGTGTCTTACCTGTCGAGCACCCAGACTACATCCATATGCCTGTACGGCACTTGGCTTTCCCCCTAATCTACAGTTACTTCTCCTTCTCTGCATCGGCAATTACCCCACACTTCTTACATACAGTCACGAACGGTCTTGCATTGTTCATGAACACTTTACCCTGTTATTTTGCATGCGGATAGATGCTTTACACGCTCCAAACACCACGCGATATACCTGGCTTAACAGGTTGGATGTTGCGGCTAACATGCTTGTGCAGTTCACTTCTCCTCCCCCCTTGTCCACAACACCCCCCTTTTTTGCACAAGTAAGCTGGCACTTGCGGACACAATGTCTTGGTCGATCTGAGCGAGTAATTTGATGCTGCGGAGAGGAGAGACACCAAGACGTGAATGTACAGGACGAGATGAAATTGCAACCTTGGCATCAGCAGGAGAAGAGGATTTATACCAGAGCGCTTTGTCCCAAAGTCGAACACATTGCTTCACTATCATTCACTTCACGTGACAACATTGCTACATCTGCAGGCAACGCACTCGTTCAATCTTGACCTTTTGTTGTATATTATCCCGACTCCGAAAATCAACATCCAACCTTCCATCGCCCATCAAACCCTCACTCGACAAGATGAAACTATTTACCGTTGCCATCCTCTCCCTGTACGCAGGCAGCTCGCTCGCCTACTTTGTACGTCTACCACCAACAGCCCCCCCCCCCCCCCCCCCCCTCTACCCCTACCGTGCAAACCCCACTAACACCAGACCCAAAAGAACTGCGTGAAGATGCAGGATGGATATGGAAGATGTGTCGGCAATGGCCGACACCAGGGTAAATGGCAGTCATGCAGCAAGGTATATTAACCCTCCGTTCTACATCATGTTCTTTGCCCCTTCACGGAAACAGCAAGTCTGACACAGGATATGTAGGATTATCCTTGCTACCAGAACACAAATGGGTGTACGCCTAATTTGGCTGCGGGCCAGCAAACGTCAACCGAGTGGAAGGCTAATTGCAGTTGGCAATAAAGGTCTTAGACATAGTTCGCTTCCGCTCGCTGTAAGCGGTGGGCTGTGGGCGGTTTGTTAAGTGGCGGTTTTGTAGTGGCGGTTTTAATGGGTGGTTTGTTGGGTGGAAGGGGTGCTTTGGTATGGCAGCTATCATCTAGGCTATCCACACCGGTGGGGGTTGTCGAATACCAGCGAATCCGATATGCTGCATAGACGCTCAGAAATACATCTTCGTTATACCTTTTCTATTCTATTGTCAATAATGTAGTTTTACTGAGTATGTAGGGTGCAGGGATAGTACCTTGAGTGTGCTTACTTATATTGTTGTCACAATAAACCTGCGTTATGGAAATCTGTTACTAAGCATCGATATTACTTACATATACCATGATACCTTCTCAATTTCGTGACGAAGGCGATAACAGTTCTTGTTATCGTGGTAGTTGACTCCAAGGCGCATGTGTCTTGTGAGGGCCCACCAAAGGTTTAACCCGTGACTGGTTTACCCTGTGAATATTAATGTGCTCTTGTCAAGGAACATAGTAAGTACGACTCTCTCGATTTTCTTGGGAACTGCGTACCAGTGCAACAACGGTAAGGGTTCGATACATTCACTTTACTGACTGCACAAAGCTTACAAATCATCAGGTTCACGCCCTTCACTCACGTGCACCGATCCCTCCCAGAATAAAGAAACATGCTCTTGTACCTGCACAAACGACATCGTCTTCGACCAACCCATCCTTTTCCACGGCCAGGCCGGCAACGCTTCGAACACCGACTGCGACTGCGAGGATGTCAAGGAAGAATGCTCTAAGCGCCAGAAAGAGTGCGACGCCAACATTGCGACTCAACAGTCACTCCTCAAGCGCGAGCAACAGTCGACAGCTGATCTCCAGAAAGAGTCGGAACTCCTTAAGCAAGAGCCGGATATCTTCACAAAGTTGCAAGATTGGCGTAAGAAGCCATATGTTCATCTGGGCTGCTATATCAATTCCGCCGATCGCATCCTATCTGACCGAGTGTTTTATAACCAGGCGGCAATGACGCCTGACTTATGCGAGTCCTATTGTGATACCTACGAGTACTATGGCCTTCAGGTTGGCGGAGAGTGCTACTGTGGACAAACTTTGAAGCCCTCGTCGAATTCTACAGAATGTAATTACAAATGCGTGGGGGACAAGAGTAAGACGTGTGGTGGCAATTGGAAGATGGAAGTTAACCAGAAGAAGGAGTGAATACACTAATGCTGTTTACATGCAGCATTGTTCCCGAAAGATCTCTATCAACAACCCATTAGTTCTAGAAGGCGGTTTTCGTCCTCTGTAGGCAGCTTGCACATGTCGACCACGTTTTCGAAATGCTTTAGAGCTGTCTCGCCATGGCATGTCAAACTCTTGTCATTCTATCTCCGCGGCGTTTCATGTCGCCTTCACTTTGCATCTTAGACTTGATGAACTATCTCTTATCCATATAGTCTCTTAGTAAGACTTTCTGCGAAACAGTTGGCCTGCTCGTCTTTTTTATGTTTTCTACTCACAATACTCAATATTCCTCAGTGTGCGCCCATAGCCATATTCGTCAGATCTAGAAAGCTAATGTACTTGCCTCAAAGCAGTCTCGCCTCCTGCAACTGACATCCATAGTTCCCATGATTTGCCGGTCCGCAAAACAAACTTCCCGTAGCAGACTGCTATCACTCCTAGCTCGCCGCCAGATCGGCATCGCCCAAAATACCTCGACACGTGTGAATGCGAACTACTCGGTACGTGTATATGAGGGTAGTTAGAGCAATGCTCCACTGGATTTTGATCCTGTGTTGCGCTCTCCCCAATTCAATACCTCGAAAAGACGTGTCGCAGACTCCCTTGAAATCGAAGCCATGCATCTCGCACTCCCTATTTTGTTCCTTCCTGCGCTTGCGCTTTGCATGCCTCAACTACTTATTCGGCCCACTGCGGAAAGTGTCATAGAGTCAGTCGTCAACATCCATAACGCTGTTGTGGAACAAGATGGTATCCTGCAAGAATACACCGGGGGCTTCACGCCAACCGCCATCGTCGAGGACGTAAAGACCCTGGCCGGCTTTGCCAAGATCCACAGTGCGAATCGCCAGGGATTTCGGCGCGCGACTTTTGCTGCGCAATTCAGCGTCGAGGAAACCGTGAAGTTCATTGACACGGTAGTCGCCACTGGTATGTTTATGTCCTGTTGGTGGGGTGTAGAGCTAACTCTAGAATAGTGAATATCAGTATTCCAATATCAACTCAGCATCTTCGCGCAAAAAAACAGGTTTACAAGGAAAATGGTTCGCGGTCGGTCGTGGTGGCCACTCTAGCGTTGTTGTTGTACGACCACGATACCTTCACTGTTGCGGCGGGGAAGAACTTCAACCCTGGTACCCCTTGGGACAAGCTGAATCAGGCAAACGATGCGGCGAATAATATCCATGGCGTTATTCAGAGCGCACTCCTATACTACAGCTTGGGCTTGAACTTGTAGATCGATACGGTGGAGTCGTGCACGACACACGAGAGGTTCGGTTATCATTTTCACGCCGTATCGTCTCGATAACTACCTGAAATTCCATCGAAGCGCATTGTTCTGGGGATCGCATTCGTACCCGCCAAAAGAAAAGTATATGCAATGATGTCATTGTTCCCAAAGCCCTGACTCTCCGCACAGCCTAGATGCCGTTAGCTGGCATGTAGCGCGCCGCAAGTGCGTCATTCCCGACCGCTGACGACGATATTCTGTCTCTGCATATAACCTAGCCAGCACCTCAGCTCCCATGCATAAACCCCTCTGCTTCCAACTACGGGATATCCATTGATTCGTCATTCAGCCTTTCTTACTTCATCTTTCAAACACCCAAACCAATAACCACACGCACTTCATCACTTTCCAATCATGGGTTGCGGAAGCAGCAAAGAAAAGAATGCCGGCGATTACAACGACATGGCACGGCCAACGCAGCCGGAAAAGTCACATATGAAGGCCTCGGTAGATTCTCCAAGGTCACCAGCGGGTGGACAGCGCGCAGCTGTAAAAGCACGCAGGTCTCCAGATAACCCAATCGTTTACTTTGACGTTGAGATCGGGGGTGAACCAATAGGCCGCATTCAAATGGAACTCTTCCTTGATGTCGTTCCTGCAACATCGGAAAACTTCAGGCAGTTCTGCACCGGAGAGGCTTCACAGGGTGGATACAAGGGCAGTACTTTTCATCGCGTGGTAAGTTATCTTTGACGCTGCTTTACTTCGAGCTCCGAGCACTATGCGGGATTCTTGGGAACACACCTGGTCCAGGACCTCCCTCCTCTCATCAACTTCGACTAACGGTCACATAGATCAAGGATTTCATGATCCAAGGCGGCGATTTCCTCAACGGAAATGGAACAGGCAGCACCTGTATCTTCGGCGACCGATCCTTCGACGACGAAAACTTCGAGCTAAGGCATACACATCCAGGTCTATTGAGTATGGCAAACTCAGGGTAAGTCGATACAAACAACTCGAAATGAATCTCTACTAACCCGCCCCCGCAGTCCGAATACCAATGGATCGCAATTCTTCATCCTCACAGCCGCTACCCCACATCTAGACGGTAAACACGTTGTTTTCGGCGAAGTCCTAGATGGCATGGATGTTGTACGGATAATTGAGGATACACAGACTGCGGCAGATCAGCCCATGAAAGATGTTGTTATTGTGGAGGCTGGGCAGCTCGCAGGTGCAAAGCCTTTGGCGTAGATGGAGTCTATTGCTTTCGCGCGTGATATTCTTGATGTGTAGCGCTGTGCATGGTGTAATTGGCGGAATGTTGGGGCGCAAAACGGAGTTCTTTGCGCATCCTCTTCTCTTTCTGCTGTATCGATTTCGACTCTTCAATCAATAATTGGCGTGGGTAGCAAGCAGGATTCTCAGAATTTATGATGGCTTTATGATGCTGCAACAGCCCTTTCTGATGGCTTCGACGTCAACGTTACTTGTTGGCATTGTCGGCCCATTCAACATTGTGTAGTGATCCATGATTCATCACATCGAGTATGATCGAACGACCGCCCCACGTCATACGTTCAAGATATCGCGCTTCCAAAGATCCAGAGGAACATTCAATATATATTACCAGAGATCGAGCGGTTGGCATTGTGCATAAGTTGTAGGTTCCATGCATAGATGATTACAGTAAGAAGACGTGAGTGAAGAGTTCACATCTCTAGAATTCCCCGTACATGTGCAGAACACACTACTTCACATAGCGACAGCTAAAATCAAGGCCGTGACACGGACAAACTCTTCACGCTCCCACATGGAAGCGGTACTTCCAACAATCCCAGTATATAATCTATAGACGTGGCCGTCTCTGCCACGCTCTCTCCACTTCCCTCATACACTACCATTCCGAAAATAGTTTGTCAACTCAGGCAGGCCTGATAACTCACTGTTCCACCCACCAACACGTAGCAATCATACTTGTTCACAACGACAATATACCAACACATATACTAGACCAGAACCCTACCATGTCCACCAATAGCCCTAGGGTTACCGGGGTCCACGATAATGGCTTGCCTGGAATGCGTGTTGCAGACTCCAGAAACAAACTGGGTGATGGAATACAAGACACGCAACATAGAGATACGAGCGAAACATCTGATCGATGCGAGCACGGGGGCGAATATTCCGACGAGGAAAGCGATGGTAGCGATATGAGCGAGACAGGGGGAGATGTTGGGTCCGATACTATGGATCGCAGTGAGAAGGGGAGTTTCTACGAGAGCAATCACAGAACTGAGGACTTCCACAGTGAGAGGGGGTCATTTTACGACAGCGACCGCGGAACTGAGGACGCCCGTAGTGAGACGGGCGTTACTTATGACAGCGACCACCGAACCGAGGACGTCCACAGCGAATACGGCAGCGAATATAGTAGCAGTGCTGAGAGCATGGTAGATGCAGAGAGTGTTCATCTCCAAGAACAACAGCACCAGCCCTCCGGCATAACCTATAACCAAAAAGTTTTATATGCGCCCAACAAAGTCGCAGAAGCTGCACCGGCAAATCAGACACCAAATCTTGTCATAAAAATCCACCAAGACCGCTATATAGATCAACAAGCATCCGCGTCCCGAAGCCAAAGTCACACGCAAAAAGATATTTTCGACCAGGACCAACGAATTGAGGCTGATGATGTACGTCATGAGCAAGAGCTCCAGGCTCAGCCAACCAACGATTGCTACCCACAGCAAAATGGTCAACGGGAGCTTGAGCAAGCCTTTTCACGGCAGCCCCCGGAAGGGCGAGATGTGAGATTGCAGAATATACAGGCCGCACAAGGATTTCCAAGGGCAGCAGTACCTTCTTCTGAGCCTGATACTGCAACCGACTTGGATTTCCCCGAGTCCAACTTTGACGATAAATCTGAGTACTCGGCTGACTATCACAACGGGGAGAGTGAAACTAGAGCATACGAGGCGGAGAATCATCGGCCAGAGATAGCGATGCGCCGGCCGGAGCTAACATCAAATATGCGCGAATCAGAAGAGCAGCGCTTTCCCCTGATGAACGTAGATACGAATACAATAACGACGGAGCAAAGAAACCCCCAAGTATGGCAAGAAGTGCAAAGTCCAACGGCATCACTTGAGAACCTAGAAATCAACACTGAATTTGCGCAGCGACGGCGATTTCTCAGCCATTTGAAAGAGAAGCAGAGACAAGAAGAAATAGCGGCAGAGGAAGAAGCTCTCCAGCTATATGCACAACATAGAGAGACACGACAAGATCTCATGTGGGTGCGCCAACAGCAAATATGAGAAGAGGAAGAAGAACTTGAGGCGGCAAAGCTAGATTTCGAAGAGGGAAAACAGCAACGGGCTGCGAATGCGCGACGGCGAGTATTTGAGACCGCGCAAGCAAGGGAAGAATATCAGGAAGAAGAGGTCGATGAGCAAGTACCGTGCACACTTCAGACAGCTCAAGCTGCCTATGAAAAGGGAATTCATGCGGCGCAGGAGCAATCTAAACTCCAGGCTCTAGAAGCGCGCAAGGCTAAGGAAGAAGAACAGCAGAGTATCGCCGATGAAGAGGCACGAAGAAACGTCGACATAGCAGCTAGGAGGGCTGAAGAGGCGTGGCAAATTCAGGAAGAAGATCGACAGGAAGCCGAGCGATAAAAAGACGAGAGAAAGCAGCAAGAGTTGCTGGAGAAAGTCGAACGAAAAGCGGCTGAACGTCAGCAACGTGACCAACAGCGAGACAATGAGAGAGAGATCAATCGACAACGACAAGAAGAATGAGACACTCGTAGGGATGAGGAACGAGAGAGAGGCCTAGCGACTAGGAGGGAAAGGGAAGAGAGAGATGCAGAGTTCCAGGCTGCAAAGATGCAGGATGATATGGAGCTGAAAGAGCAAAAGGCAGCCCTCAAAGCAGAGAAACAAGAAAAAGAACATGGCATCATGAAAGAAATAAAGGCAAATGACATAGAGTTACGGGCAGCAAAGGAGAGCAACTGAATAGACCACAAAGCTGAAGAGTCTGCACATTGCCAAGCGCTAGAATCTAAACGACACGAATTCCAAAAAGGAGAGAAAGTCACAAAGTTGTCGATAGAGGCCTAACGCTTCCAAAACCGAGCGGAAGTTAGATCCCAAGAACTGGCACACCGCAAGGAACTGACGACGTTGGAGTTGGAAACCCGCAGTCAAGAGAAAGAAGCTAAGCGGGCCATGGAACTCCAAGTGCAAGCCAATGCTGATTTGAGACTTCAAGAGACTGCCCATCGACAGGAGAAACGGGCTATCAAAGAAAAGGCCAGGGAAGATGGAGCAAAGCCAGATTTGCATGGTTCAGAGGACGATACATTGCCAAAAATGCCTGTCCGACAAGCGCACCCAGCAGATAAGAAGACACACAACGATCCGGCACATCATGGACCAGTTGTAGCGCATGGAAATTCCCAACCACAAGGTCATCCGGGTCTATCTCCAGGTAGCTTTCCTCAAGGGGGCTATGTCCGTCACTTCCACCCAGTCGGGTATCCGGGCTATGGACCACCGATGGGTCATCCAGGTCCAGCTCCTCGTGGAGAACCCCCAAACTCTGAAACTAAGAAACAGAGCAAGGGGAAGAATTTAAAATCGAAGAAAGGGGCTAAGAAAGCCGAGGAAGGGTCTGATGAAGACACAGGTGACGAGCAACCTGTCGCCAGCAGCGGAGGAGCAAATAGGAATAAGCACGAGGCCCTCCACGAAGCCGTCTCCAAGTCACAGAGGGGGATGAAGAGCACCACCACTGTCAGTAAGATAAAGGTACCGGGTGCGTCGATTCATATTAAAAGGACTAAAGTCTCAGATTCCAGCAAGACGAAAGAGTCGCGTCGTCATCGGACGCGCAATGTGAACGAATCCAGTCAACCGAAGGTACCACACTCGGAAGCTTCCAATCAGTTATCTGTGGAAGCTGCTCCGGACTCGCATGACCGCAGTCATGGGGAAGTCAAGCATGAGAGGAAGAGGGACTTTAAACATGATGAGCACAGTGAAGTCAAGCACGAGGAGGTCAAGCATGAGAAGAAGAAGGAAGTCAAGTTTGAGGAGCATAGTGAAGTCAAGCACGAGACTAAGCAACACACCTCCAGCGGCGTGAGAGTTTCGCAATCCCGCAGCACGATCGGTGTAGATGCGACAAGCCATCCCAAACCACCGGTCTCAGATCACCCACACGAATCTGCTGCCGTTGGTAACTCAAAAGCGCAGGCTGTTATCTCTGATCACACAGACATCAATACATCGCACTCATCTTCCAGCAACACGAAAGCTTCACAAGCTCATAAGACCGTTGCGATAGATACGAGCCATCCGAAGCCACAAGATGCAGCAAAGATTGACGGACTTGCCGCAAATCATACTCCAGAATCGAATGTTCAAGCCGCGGATCACGTTAAAACTAAGGCTGAGCAGTCTTCTAAGAGTAAGAGTTCTTCGTGGCTTTCCAAGACGTATGGGGTAAAAGCGAACGATAAACTAAACCAGCAATCCCCTGGTGACCAAAATCCAAGCCCAGCAGCTGCAAGTCATACTCCTGCATCACATCCTGCAGATACCGACAACCTTCCCCGCCACACAGGAGCGGAGAATATGCAAAATTCATCCTCAGGCAAATCGGGATCCAGTAACACGCATCCGATACCTGGTAACATGGACGCTAAGACTGCTCCAACATCTACCAGGAAACTAGAGGCTGATGCTTCAAACCCATCGCACAGCAACTTGAAGGTTGATCATATGCGCTCAACTTCTAGGACCACAGGGACAGAGCATACGCACTCATCTTCTAGCACACGAGGAGCCAATACCACACAACCAACTTCTGGCGAACTAACACTATGACTGCGCAATTATTTGGCAGGGGGTCACAAGCCGACACTCTACACAATTCCTCCTCCCACCACACTAACACGGAGCATTCGCAATCGACTTCTCACCACACCAGATCTGGGCACTCGCCATCTCCTTCGAGTCACGCGAAAGCGGAAACTCGGAATTTGCTATCTCCCTCCGGTCATACCAAACCGGACATTCAACATTCGTCATCTCCCGCCAAAGATACACCTCATTCAAGCTCGCCTCATGTCATCCAACAGCCTAGTACTCTTGGGGTTACGGGAACGTCATCGCATGCGCATATTGGTAGTCATAGCGGATCTGGAACTATGGACGCTAGGCATGCTACTGGTAATGATGCCATTCTTCGGAATAGCGGGAGATTTGGAACTCCTAAGACAGGTCCAAGGCCGAGGGCGCACCAGGATCCACTCCAGACTCCATGACAGGCTACACTGCAGGCTCCATTCCAGGCTCCGCATCATGCTCCGCCTCAGACTTCTCATCGGACTCCAATCCAAGCTCCTCATCGGACCCTGATGGAAGCTACGCTTCAGACTCCATTTCAGACTCCGCATCATAGTTCAAATCATGTTCCACATGGAATTCCACATCAGACCCGTGATCGTCTGATTGGGAGCGTTGCAGATGAAGCCAATCTCCAGGGTGCCGGAAGAAGACCTGCCTCTCCGCATCAGATTTATAACGAACCAGTGGTGAGTGTTGCAGATGGAGCACATGTCCAGGGGATCAACAAGCAATCTGTTCAGACGAGCAATAAGGATGATAATCTCGGAAATCATAAACCCATCTCCGGCAATAATGTAAAACACGGTGTCCCAGCAAGAGACGTAAATATCCAAGCGGCGAAGAAGAACGAGTCCTTAGCCTACGCCAATGCTTACTAGTCACCAACGCATACTGCGAAACAGCACGCGACTGGCGATCCGATGTCTCGCACTCAGTCTGCAGGAAGTAATTTACAAGAGGTCGTCTTGACCAATAATCCCTACGCCACGAGAGTCACCGAGGAGGAAGCAAGGCGAAAAGCTGTCGAGGCAGAGTTTCTTAGGCATAACCCGTTGAAACAGCAACCTATTGGGGGAGCGAAAATCGAGCAGAAGCTGGAGGAGAGGCAGACTAACATGAACGACAAAGGCAAGAAGAGCATGATAGGGAGTCCCGTCCACACCGAAGTAGGCAAGAGACCCGCCGACACGGGCAATCCAAAGGCAAAAGCTGCTAAGGCAGTGGATAAATCCAAAGAGAAGGCTCCAAAGACGAACGACGCCGCAGAAGAAAAGAGCAAGGGAAACAGAATGGGGAGCCTCTTCAAGACTGGTGCAAACAAGAAAACCACGGAAGCTGAGAAGTCCAATCCACAATCTGGGAAGCCGGAAGAAACGGACAAACAGAAGCCAATAGAGCAGCAAATTGCCGCAGAAGATAAGGGTAAACAGGGTATGATGGGAGGTTTCTTTGGGGCTAGAGCGGATAAGAAAACTGTCAAACCAGAGCCAACTGCTACAAAGGTACAAGGGAACGTCGAGCAAAAGCTAGCAGAGCAACCGGATAATTCGGGAGAGAAAGGAAAAAGGAGCAAGGTGGCGGGTCTTTTCCAGACTGGATCAGATAAGAAAGCTGTCGTGTCAGATCAGCCGCAAGCTGAGGCTGCCAAAAGGCAGGGAGAGCATAAAGGGCATCATTTAGCACCACAAGTGCCTGCGTCAGGGAAGAGCAAGGTACAATAGGGACACCCACCGCCTATCCCGTACATCTGCCCCCAATGGCAGCTGATCCAAAGGCAGCCCAAACACCAAGGCCTCAGCCAAAACCTACAAACGTAGCCTCGAGTGTCAAACATCCAACCTTAAAACACCAATCTCCCAGGGAAGAGCAGAGTAAGCAGGGTGTAGTGGGGAAGTCGCTGGCCAAACCTGAGAGTCACTCCCAAAAGACTACGGATCCAAAAGTGGGAAATGCAGAAAAGGTCCCGACCAAAGCTGCCAATGTAGGGGAAAAGAAGGGAAAGGATGCTAAAGACAAGAAAGAAAGCGGCATCTTCAGGCTCATGGGAAAGCGGACAGCTCAGCCCGTAGCTGCCGACAAGAAGGTGGATGGTGAGCACAAACTTCAGCCTCCCTTTGAGGGAGTAAGAACTCCACAGAACACCAAAGCTGCTTATGAGGGAGCTTGCGGAAGCCAGCAGAAAGCAACTCCGACAAAGCAACAAGAAGGGAATCACGAGAAGCATCCAGCGGCGCCTGATATAAACCATCGTGTGGGAATTCCTGAGAAGCAACAGGAGAGGAAACTCAGGTTGCACCCGATAGTGAGCAATATCAATCAACACCCACAAACCCCCGGGCAACAAGAGGTGCCTGCGAGAATGTACCCAGCAGGACCTAATATGATCAACCACTCGGCAACACCGAAACAACAAGAGAAGACATCCAAAATTCGCTCAGTATCAACCAATATCAACCAACACCCCCAGACCCCCGAACAACCACATGGTACTCCTCGATGACTCCCCGTAGCTACCAACGCCAGCCAGCATCAGGCAAGTCCCAAACCACCCACATCAGACTCCCGCCGGATACTCCCAAACCCCACGCCCAAATCCCAACCAATCATCAGAAAACCAGTCAAAGAGCCTGTCCAAAGCCAACAACACCAACTTCCCCTCCCCGCCTTCCACACTCTAAACCCCCCGAAAAAAGCCTCAAAAACCCCGCACAAACCCCAACAAACCGCCTCCCCCTCCGCCCAAGCAGCCGAAAAAGCTCATC